GTGAGAAAATCCTCAATCCCTACGGCACCTTCAAAGCTCCGCAGTCCCTTGATGGTCTTGCCAGATCCTCATCGGAATTTGTGCCGGCCGCTCTCATATGCCACAGGGGACCCAGCCATGACACTGGCCACTACTTTGCCATCCTCATCTACAGAGATCTGATGTGGATTGCAGACGATGGCAAACCGCCAATGCACCTGGATCATTTAACACCACAACTGGCCAGTCAAATCACACAAGTTTGGGCTGTCCACATTGACACCTTTCGGACCACACAACAAGTGATCCGGTCTGAGACCCTCAAAAGCATGAACAAACATGCCAGTATTTCACGTTTTGAGGACGCACGGCATTTGGAGTTCCGGCGACAACAGTGCCACACATGGAGGCATCATTGTGCTGGCAGACCCATCATGCGGCCTCACCCCAGTGGAACGTGCCACATCCAAGGTTGCGGCTACCAGGCCTTTCTCTGGCAGGCCACAGAATGCGCATGAAAACGAATGAGACACTGCAGAGCAACACCAATGCCACGATCCTCTCCAGACTCTTGGCCCTTCTTGAAGCCACGACACACCCATATGTCATCCTGGGAGATTGGCAAAACAATCCAGGGCACTTTCCAAGCACCGTGCTGCCTGCCAAGTTCCACTTCAGCATCCTGGCACCTGATCACAGTGTGCTCTCCGGCAATGTCCTGGACTATGGCTTGGTGCGCAACACACTAGCAGGCACCACAGCACTCACCACTGACTGGGCGATTCCTTGGAGACCGCACGCCCTCCTCGACATTGAAGCGGTTAGCCAAGAATACAGACAGATACAATACTTCCCAACCCTGCCAGCCACACCAGACATCGACTTCTGGCCATGCGCAACATACCAATCCCAGGCTTTCGAACTGGAGCTCTATGGCAATCCACCCAATGACAGTGCCCAGGCCTGGGCAGATTGGATTTCCTGCGCTGAGCAATACCTTTTGCAAGAACATCCATGGGCGGCACAAGGGAGAGGAGCCAGTCTCCACACAGTGACAAAACCCTTGGTACCAAGCCCACCACCACCTGGAAGAAAGGCTCAAGCCAGCTTACTGGGAGCAGCTCATCGTCAGGTTCCAATGTGCGCTCAACCGCCCGGCCCCACAGCGCGGGGGACCAACCAAAGGCTTCGTGCAGGCCATCCGGGATGCGCCAGCCAATTGGATGGGGCCACCAACATGGGGATTTCTAGACACATGCCACCACTGGCACCAATACCATGACACCCATACAGCAACTTTGCTCCTCCATACGATGAAACACCAACAGCAAGAGTCACAGCAGGCTGCACATGATGAAGCGCACCTCCAATACAAGGCCTGGCTTTTGCAAGGACAGGCCAAAGGCCCTTTCGAAGTCTAAAAAGCAGCGAGGTTGCCTGGGAGGGGCCCTACCGACAGATCCCACAACCACAACGGATGCGACCCAGTCTACGGGACCAGGCGCAACAACAAGCCCAACAGCTGGAGCCCGTGACCATCGGCCAGCTCCGCAGAATCTTAAAGGCACTACCTGACAAGGCAAGTGGGCCTGATGCACTCAGCACAACTGCTGAAACAAGCACCTCCGCTATCGCTGGCACCACTACTTGAGCTGTTCAACGACGTGGAACAACAGGCACAACTACCTACCCAACTCCAGATGCACATGGTAGTTATGTTGCCAAAAAACACCACACTGGAGCGCCCCATCACAGTGTTGTACCGTGTGTGGTGCCGCCTCAGGAAGCCCCTGCTTGACCAGTGGCAGAACCATGCAGCTTCCAGCCCCATGAACCAACAAAGCCAGGCCTGGCGCCAACGTCCTGCAGGTGGCCTTAGAGGCACGCGGAGCCAATGGCAAGCGTGGAGTCACGGTTCTTATGGACATGTCCACATTCTATGACGCCATCCAGCTCACCCGACTCCAAGAAGAAGCCATCAGGTTGGATTACCCTCCACTCCTGCTCAAACTTGCCATGCAGGTTTACACAGGACGCAAGGCCATTGTGGCCGAACAAGAGATGACGCCCTTTTTCAAGGTGAAGAGAGGAGTCCCGGCAGGCTGCCCACAGGCGCCACTCTTGGCCAAAGCAGTCTTGGCCCCAGCCCTCATACCCTGGAAAGAAGCACACACAGAAGCACACCTTTCCAGCTGGGTTGATGATGTTGGGTTCGACGCAGCAGGCACAACACCGCTCCAGGTGGCCACAACAGCAGTTGCAGCATACAGAGACCTCCATAGCCGCTTGGTTGAGCTTGGATTGAGAGTGAACCCAAAGAAAACGGCAATGAACATTCATTGCCACGGACAAGGCCACCGACAAAGCTCTTAAGGAACTCCTCAGAGAAGATGAACCCGCATGTTGCAACAGTCATGAGGGATCTCGGAGTTGATCATCAAGCTGGACGTCGGAGACGCATCCCGGTGCTCAAGCAGCGCCTGAACAAGGCCAAGCAGAGGAAGATCAAGCTGAGGAACCTCAAACTCCCAGCGTTGAAACTCAGGCTCCGCCTTCATCGAGGAGGTATCCAGCCGGTTGCCCTCTGGGGTATTTAAGGACAAGGTTTGGCCCCAAGATACAGGACAGCACTTTGACAAGCACTGGCCCAGCAATTGGGACATCATGCCGGGGGACTACTTGACAGCGCCTATGATCTGCACAGCGACAAATACATTGACCCCGCAGACCAGGTTGTGATACATCACATCCGTGCCCTGCGCAAGTTGGTCCAAGCCTGGCCAACCAACCAGATCCAATACCTTGAACAGGCCTGGGCAACCACCTATCAACAGCTGCGGACCAAACCTCCAAGAATAAAACTGGCAAGCCCCAGAACTTTTCAGATGGACAAGACCGGAGACACCTCTCCTGCTTGCCAACACCATGTCGCTCCAAGACCCATGGTGGAAATTCGAACTGGCTTTACAGGAGCAGGCTTGGATTGGCATGTCTACAGACAAGTTCACCGGAAACTCCCTGATAAAAACTTGGACGCAGTGTGCAGTGCAGCACAGAGACCCAAAACATGCCCCATATGCCAGGTCCCAGCCACCCCAAAACACAGCATTTGGATGTGTAAGTGGCGCAGAGACCAAAAACATGATGCCATGCCTCCGGAATGGATGGAGAGAATCAATTGTCCTGAAGAAGATCCTTTATGGTCGGCAGGGTGGATTTTGTTGGAACCACAAGACCACAAGCAACAAATCCACCAGTACCAAGGCCATGGAACATGGCAAACCGGCGACGTTGGCCCCACATCAGCACCAAGGGGCATTCACACTTGATGCCACCATCCAACTATCATGTCAGAAGCCAGCTGTGGGTGTTTGGGCTGTGTGTCCGCGCAATGTCCCTTGGACAACTCCGCCGGTTGGGCGCGATATCCCAACCGGCCAACAAAGCAAAACCAGAGCACTGGTGGCAGGTTTGGTGGCCCTGGCCAAGCGCACCTCAACCCCGCTCAAGGCCATTGTGCAAATGGCCACAGTCTCGGAAGCTTGGACCAACAAGCGCCACAGGCAAGCCTACCTCGATCTACTGGAGGACATCCACGAACAGGACTTCCAAAGGAAAGGGTGACCGTGCTGTACATCAGCAAAAACACCCGTGCCCCGGAAGCACCAGGCAATGAACCACAGGTGAGACGCAGACAACGGGATGCGGCTTTGGTGGCATGGGACAAGCAGATTCACTCCATGACCGACGTCACACAGAGTGGCAGAAACTCGTGACCAAGACCATGCCCTCATCTACAAACATGCGGCAGCAAGGCTGGCAAAGATCTATGGTGAGAAGAACCATTACATCCATGACAAAGCACCCCGACAACAGGGCAAGCACACCAAGCAGCACAAGAAGCAACTGGTGCAACAATGCAAGCAACCTTGGAACCCATCACATCATCGATGGGCGCCATGCAGGAGTGGATTTCACTGCACCGCCTGTGGAAGGGCTCACGGCCAGCCTTCTTGAAGAACGCCTTCAAGCGCAGAACACTTCAGAAGAAAACCACTAAACCTCAGACGATCAAAGAGCTGTTGGCCCAACAGGACACTCAGCCGCCTGGACCAGATGCTCACTTCCTGACGGAAACGGCAGGGTATCTAAAATGCAAGAAATGTGGAGTCAACATCCACAAGCGCACCAACGAATCTGCATTCACGGACTTTGTGAATAGCAAATGTGTAGATCAAGCCTACACGCAGGAGCGCCAAGGGCATCACACCCATGCCCTCTGGCAGAAAGGAGACAAAGTAACATGCACCTTGTGCGGCGTACAATGGCACCTTGATAGCCAGAAGCGAGTCATAGCCACCACAGCCTTCAGGAAAGAGAGCAGAGGCGCAGGACTCAAAGGCTCCCCGCCGCTCAGCGACTACTTCAAGGCAAGCCAGCCCGCCAAGGAGAAGGACGCTCCGACAGACAAAAGACCTACTCCGAGGAGGCTGCGCTTTCCAACTGCTTTGGATGCACAAGACCAGAATGAACCTGATGGAGAACCCACAAGGGCAGAAACAGCACCAGCAAAAAAGAGCTCAACCGAGCCCTCAGACGAGGCCACGGAGGCCGGCCAAGCGGCCAAGGACGAAGAGGATGAAGCTGAAATGGCGTGGACTTTTTCTAAGACCTCATGAACAAGTTCCGCCACTGCAGCGTTGCTGATCTGCCAAAAAGCGCACAGAGACTTCTGCAGACGAAAAGGCACCTCTAGGAAAAATACATACATACATACATACATCCATGCATGCATGCATGCATCCATCCATACATACATACATACATCCATGCATGCATCCATACATACATACATACATGCATACATACATACATACATACATACAGACACACACACATACATACATACATACATACATACATACATACATACATACATACATACATACATACATCAAGCTTGACCTTTGCAAGCGCGGTGCGGGCGACGCTACTGTAGTGGCCTGGCTCCTTGAAACAAGGCCACCAAAGGAATGGAATGAAAGGACTGAGAGAATCCCCAGTCCTTTGAGACGAATGGATTGGTCGGCAATGGCATGTTTGCTGTGAACGATTTATTTTTGTGAAAGAATTCGACTTCAACGATTCGTCCTTATGTTTCTCTCGAACAAAGACTTCTCTGAACAAAATCTATGGACCTCTCTGGACGCACGGTTTTACAGCCGTCCTCGCCAGGGCCGAGAACTTCGTGGGCATCTCTCGCCGAACGGAGGTGGAGTGTTTGTCCTGAAACACAGAGAGGAAAACCCCACAGGATCCGAAGAGGAACTTATGGTATCCGATGTGTGCGTCATCCAGTCCTTTTTTGCTGTTGAAGGAACAATTTTTTGAGCTGCGATGACAAACAACACGCAAAGGGACCAAAAAGACTGTAAAACCTACGGTGTTTCAGCAGTATCACCTTAGGTCAGGGGGACTGCCGACGCCACGTCACTTATGAAGGAATGTGTGCTTTGGACGGGCCATATTCCTGAGCATTCCCACACAGAAGCTTAGTTTTGAAGCACAGCAAAGTCTGTAAGGGACAGATTCAGGAATGTCCGACATGTTTGAGACTCAAGTTTTTTCCAACAATCTGAGACATTCTTGAAGATTCCTTTCATTGACGTGCCATGGATGGCTTGGTGCCTTGGCCTCCTTTGCAGCCTGTACCTGCTGGCAGTGGCTGTCCCGTGGGAGGGTGAACCAAACGGCAGGCTTGCATCGCTGTCACATGGCTGTGAGTCAAAAGAAGGGGGACCTTGGTTGACCACCAAATGAATAGACAGACTAGACTAGACCACTGATGACCACTGTGCAGTCAGCAGTGAACGTGTCTGTGTCTAGGCTCCAAAATGTTTTCCTCCGCATGCTTTGAGTCTATCCAAGAATTTATCAGAATTTATGTGTGAACTTGCTTCTCCAGAAGGATCCGTTTGCGCTTTACTGTCTTGATCTGCTTTGAGGCCTTGACTAAGCTGGAGGCCTCGATGCACACTCCGCGACCAAGTCCGAAAAGCACCGACGGAGCAGACTGCAGCGGAGTGAAGGACATGATCGTCACGATGGCGTCCTTCCGCTCGAAAGGTTCCGGTCGGGCTTCACGACACCGACCGCGGCTTCAAAAGTGAAGATGCGGCTCCAATGAGCTTTGTGACGGCCTTTTTGTTGAGAAAAGCGTTGCTGAGAGATGGAAAGAAGCCGTCTGAGTCAGACATGATTGAGAAGCAAAGAAATGTGTGTTTGCACTTCGCCAAAGAGATATAACTGCCACGTCCGTTGCAGGTGCCTAGCGTGGGAATCATTGGCCAGGCACCTGCCGATAGCTTAAACTCGGCCTGCTTTCAAGTGCCAGCTCGTTGCATTGAGAATCATTGAGCCTATGCAAGATATGCAAGTGCTTTTGTTCTTATGTTTTCATGTTCACAAAGCAATCACAACTTGTGGCTGCAGAGCCGTGATGACCGACACGAGGGCCACACGATCAAATTCTGATGGCTTGTCATGTTCCTTCATCTCTACCGAAACAGCAACGTCAGCCGGTCAGCTCCTTCATTAGGATCACTCTAAGGCAGACAACCAAAAGGGTCTACCGGCGTGTTCTTGGACTAGTTCGATTCCTTTCGATTCGACCGGACGGTTCAAATCATTTCGCCCGACGCCTTCCAACGCCAATCAGTCACTGGATGTCCGAAGGGGTCAGACAACGCATCCGATGCAGCTTGAGGTGGGTGCAGACCGCCGGGCCGCAGGACAAGGCACAGATCCACTGACGGCTTGAGATTTGTCATTCAGAAGCCTGCATGCTTGCAAAAAACATGCTATATGTTGCTAGCTGCTAGCCGCTGCTGGTCAATTGGCGACTCACACGACTGAGACACCGAAGGAAGAAAGTTGGGCAGAGGAAAGCAGCGCATCCAGCATGGCTGAAGAGACATTTTTCTCCGAGCTCCTCCATGTCGTCATTCACCATGCGGACTCTCCTGCCCACAACACTTCCTCGGCACCCTTAGGCCCTAGGCCCTTAGGTCGAACCACAACAGCTTTTCGTGCAGCTAGGTTGGAGGCCATCGCTGGTAGGGCCCTGTAATGCCTTTGTTACCCTGACTCAAAGTTTTTTCACATTCTCTCTTCGAACTTGGTCGGCAGCTTGGTTGTCTTTGTGAAGGCTCCGACCCGGGTGCTGTTGCCGCACAACTACTGCGGTCGATTCAAAACCACCAGGCATCGCGGCATCGCGACATCGTTTGGAAACGTATGTTGAGGTTGGCATTTGTGGCTCTTTAAGTCTGCAGAAACATCAGTATTCAGGTGTAATGGGTCGACATTTTCTTAAAGTTTCTTGCAGAGGTCACCTCTGCCAAAGACATGTCGGCTGCGCCCTATCGGCTGGGAGCTGAAGAGCTGTCAGGACTTCTGAAAGGATCTTAACGGGTTGGACCTAGGGTTTTCAGGATCAAATCGGATCAGGAGTCTTTCTTTCAAATCGAAGCAGGCAAAAAACTTTCTTTCCACAGCTCTTCAGCTCCACATCTGAGGCCAGGCGATCTCCTGTCCAAGGCTATGAGTGCAGAAACTTCAGATGTGACCTGGATGTGACTTCAGTGCGAAACGCTTCCCTTGAAATTCGACCAATGCTTGGTGTTAACCGAGCTTTTTTCTGTTTTAAACGAGCTATTCGTGTACTTTTGATTCGTGTACTTTAGTTCTGGTCTTGTTGAGGTTGTTAGCCTGTCGTGTGTGAATTGTTGTGAATCTTTTGTGGGGTCTGAAGTGTTTGAATGTGTAGGCAGCATGGCTCTTTGTTGACAAGGTTGTAATTGTAACAAGTTCTATATACAGATTCAAAACTTGGATACTTCCATAAGCCTGCTCACTTCTGTCCTCCTTTCCTGTAATTCAAGTGTTGCCGAGCAAAGTGCTGCATTGTTGAAAACCACAGAAGAAGGGCCTGGTTTGAGCAGACTCCGATTGTTTAAACTCAAGAGACAAGAGGTGAAGTCTTTCACAAAGAGACGCCATGTTGGGAGAAGATGGATGAGCCTAGAATACCTTGTCAGAGAGTTTGTTGTGTTAGGTAATATAGATGAATTCTGCGAACTTGGATGGAGTTAGTCTGCCTGTGTAACATGTTTCGTTTCCTCAGACCTTGGCCGGCTAGCTAGAGTATGACATGCAAAGCCAAGCAGTAAAGTCAATGTGATGCGGTGATGCAAAAATGCAAAAATATGTTCAAAAAGAGGTGAACCACAAGGGGTCTTATTGATGGTGTAGATGGAGTTTTGTTTTAAATGTAACACGTGTTGAACGAACCTAGCTGCTGCGAGCATTGATGATAAGAGATGCCCGATGCTATTGTAATCTATTGTACTATGTACTGTGCGGTTTTGTCAATCGGCAAGGTACAGATCCCAACTTCTTCTGCACCCTTTCCAGGGCAAAAGGCGGGAGCACCAAGAAGAATAAAGGACAGCTTGAATGTGAATGTGGGTCTGTAGTAATTAAAGAAAATATCCCAGCAAGTGCAACACGACTAGCACACATCAGAGTTTGTTTTTCACAACCACACCATGACTCCAACCTGGACACATTTTACTAAAAGCTACACCATAGCCTCAACCTTCAAACCACCAAAAGGAGAACACACCAGACAAGACAATCAATCCAACCCCTGCCCGGTGTTAGGTGTAACTTCTCCCCAGCCTGGTTTCAAAGATGTTCAAGTTTGATTCGGCCCACGGCGAGGGTGCTATGATTATGGTGTTTGCCTTTTCACGAGCGATGAAAACCTGCTGTTTCATCAGTGATGAGCGAGTACCATGTCACCAGCAGTGAGCCAGTGAGCCCTTGCGACTTCCCTACAACCTGGGAGCGATAGCCTCCACTCTAGTAGCGTTCTCGCTAGTAGCGATGCCCTTGTTGCTAATGGCGATGGCCTCCAACCTCTACCACGTCTCTGGTTCATCGGTGCTGCGGTGTGCACGAGCGGGTGCGTAGACCTGCAGTTCAGTGATGAGCGAGTAACTGACATTCACCAGTGAGCCCATGCGTTTTACCCTTTGTAAATGACAGTTAGAGAAGTCACCATGCATTTCACGAGAGGAACGAACACACCAGCGGTAACAACCTGCGGACCTCGAGTGCGGACGGTTTCGCAGTGAGAAACCACGGCGTCACCCATATGAAAGATCTACAACTTCCGTCAAAGGAAACTTAGCACTTTACCACTCTGAACAAGCGAGATTCGAAAGGACTAAAGTGTAGCGCTTCCGGACATCCTACCTCCCTATATATATAGGCACATGTAGGATCATAAAGGCACATATAGGATCATGAGAAGACATTGTCTGACTGGTGTGGAAGACCCACTTCACCTTAGATTCCACACACACGTTACAAACAGTTTTTTGCAACTCAGAGAGAGTAGTGAGTCATACCACGAATCAATTGCTTGGCATTTGCACAGTCATACAGCTGTGGCTCCTTGCCTTTCTTTGAGTTCCTTGCCTCTTCTCAAATCATTATAGGCCGGCGCAGAGGTTCATTGCGATGCAGAGAACTTGGACTGGAAACGCATGTGATGCACGCTGTTCAGTTCTGCGTCAACGGTTCTCTTTACAATCCAACAGTTACAGGCCAAAGGGCCGACTGAAGTTATTTGATAAGTTTCAGCTTCCTCAACTTTCTTGAGGTGTCTCCAGATGATCATGACGATGACGACGATGACGACGACGATGACTACTCGGATTCTGAAGTCAGCGACTAAGCTCCGGAGAGAGAATTTGCCCACCGCCATTCAACATATTTTGCTTTTTGATTCCATTTGCTGAGGCTTGAGCACAAAATTGCAATTCACAAGGGTACATGCTGGCAATATGTGTTTCTCCTACTCTAGGACTCAAGTGGATGGTATATGCTGTACAGGTACAGGTCCATGCTGATACAAGCAGATATAAGTTATACAGTGCCTTCCACGGAAACACTTGACTGAAAGAACTTTGATCATGGCGTAACTCAAGCACAGTTTTCTCACCTGTCAGGATTGGAATGAGGATGGACAGAGGCCAAACAATCATGGTGAAACTCACATTTTAGCAACACAATCAGCAACTAGTCCGAGCTCTGGTATTTTCAGTGATTTGCCACTCTCAGATGCGCCTTGCCTCTTTCGTGTCGAGACTGCAATCTAGCGCCTAGTCATCGCTGCATCGATGCACCGATGGCGTAGGCTGGTTCCGCCGGGCAAAGTGGATGGGTACCTCAACGTGGGGTCCACAGGACCATAGAAGCTGATCGAGATCGATCTAGGCTTCGCCGAGGCTTCCGTGTGAAGAAACGAAGGCTTTCAGAAAAAGACCAACCATGCTACGTTTTCTTTTTGCTTCGCAACCCCATTGTTTTCTTCTTCCCTTCTTTTTTCAAAGATGCTTTGCTCCATTGCAGCTAACTGAGTTGGCTTCGCTCCTGGCGGTGAGTTTGGTCCGAAGTTGTATCTGCTCAAATTTTGCAGGACACCATCTTCGACTCTGCAAACCCTGTGCATTTTGGAATACCAAGGGCTGCAAAGTGGGAACCTCAAATACTTGGGCGTTCTTGTATGACACTTCTTGACTCATGGAATGACAGGTCTTATATGGAAATTAGGTTCTGTTCATTTTTTGTCCTTAGGACGGCAAAGACTGCAAGTTTTGTCACCTGTGCGAACCTGGTGAGAAGAAGCGTCGCAAGAAGGTAGGAACGCGTGTTCCAGTGTTATGTTCTACTTTTTGTCCGCTGTGCATTTTTGTTTCGCATTTCTTTTATTTCTCAACTTTGATATTGTTTTTTCTCGTTGCCTTTGGTATTACATTTAGACCTCTTTGCCTTTTGTGTTTTGTCCTTTGCCAAACAGAGATTTGCCAGGAGAAGAGTGCCTACATCCGAACCATCACCCGCCGGCCAGACAGAGCGCCAGGACCAGGGTGGCAAGGGCTTTCAACGAGACGTGCCATGGTGCTACCCATGCGACATAGTGTCTTTGCTTGCTCCTTGCATGTTTTGAAAGACAACAAACTCCAAAACTGTTCCTTTGCGCAGCCTGAAGGAGCGCCAGCTACTGGTTCTCCTGCTTTGCTGGGTCGGCGATAGCGTGCTGTTTTTTGAAAAGGCGCCAATCGACCTGCGCCGGTAGGAGAAAGTGCCCCGCAAAGTCCGGGATCCGTCAGGTGTTTGAGACGGAGAATCTCTTCATGAAATATCGACCAATTCAGGGGATCTCTTCATGAAGAACTCCAAGAAGTCTCAAACACTTTAATTCAGAGATGTAGCAAATATGGCCCTTTAAAATGGAAGAAAGGAACTTCTGCTCCTTTTGTTCCTCAGGTGTGAACAAACACTTTCAGGGCCGTGAGACAGTGACTTTAAGGTTTAGCTGCCTGTGTTTTCGTGCTTTCCATTTTGCAGCCAGCAAGATCATCTTGGCATGCCTGAAAGGCGCCCCGGGGCGTCAAAAAGAGTCATTTCTTTGGAGCTGAGACTCACCAGGTTTTTCTCATCAGTGTGCTTGTCATAGACCCGCTGCTTTGTTGTCCACACGGCACACATGAAATGACGCTTCAAGACCAGTCGTCCTTCAGGCAAAGCCCAACCGATGTATTTTGGTGATGTAGAGGCAGCATTCGACGTAGGCACCAATCGTAGAGCAATCGCTTTTGATGTCTGCCTTCTAAGCAGACACAACTTGAGGATCAGGCCGTGATGATAATGAAGTTGGGCGCCATTTCACTAGTCAGTTGCTGTCAGGCCGCAATCTTGTTGCAAGAGGGTGTCAGCCTTTGTCCTACAGCCTCTCAATCTGAGTAAACCTCACTCCAGATCACATAGATCAAACCTCAAGCGCCCTGAGTAACGCATGCATGTACGCAATTAGTGCTCAGTACATGTTGCAGCTCACCACTAGTCAAATCGCGTTTGCCGAGAGACCTGTAGAAATTCCGGATCCGCAATCTTTCAATACCATGATGCCACGGGTTGTTTATTACAATTATCTAGTTGTGGAAGGCAATTTTTGTTTGGCAGTTGTTTCGCTTGTCTTTGATAGATTGCGCAAGTGATTTTGCTCCAATTTTCCTCGACGAGCTTCTCTTGCTGTCAAACGTCTGGGAAGATAGTAGATGTTCATTAACCAGTTGAAGGCGAGTGGCCGGTTTTTATAAAGGACCAGAGACAAAGCTGTTTTCACCAAGACTTCATGATACCGGCCATCGGTGGACACTGGCAAAGTCATGTCTCACTCCTGCAAGGATGCCAGCCACTGAGTTTCACGGCCAAGGCAGGGCGCAGACACGCATGTCAAATCAGTGTTGGCCTTTTTCTTTCTTTTCTTTACTTCCTTTCTTTCCTTTCCTTTTCTTTTCCTTTTCCCTTTTCCTTTCCTTTTCCTTTTCCCTTTCCCTTTTCCCTTTTCCTTTTCCTTTTCCTTCCCCTTCCCCTTCCGCTTCCGCTTACGCTTCCGCTTCGGCTTCCGCTTCCTCTTCCTCTTCCTCTTCCGTTCCTTCCTTCCGTCCTTTTTTTCTTTCCTTTTTTCGTTGCCGTTCTGCCAAGTGAATTCTGTCACCTGTTTCCAAGTCCGTATATCAGTGTTGGAACTCTGCATTTGTTCTCATTTAGTCTTCATCTATTTCAAATATTGATGGTGAGTGCGGCATTGAAGTCCAATGGCGATAATTGTTGCTTTGTACAACTGGTGCGGCCGGTGGGTGAGCCGTATTATTAACTTTCCACTGACGTCCGAGTAGTATTGCAGTCTACAGCCTTCGCATAACGCTTGGCATAACCTGTGTTTCATCCCCTGACCTTTCAACAATCGAAAGGGTGCAGAACGGTACCTTCTCTTGGGAGATTGCTTAACTACTGTGCCACTTTGAGGTTGGAGGCCATCACTCTTAGGTTGGAGGCCATCGTTGCTATTAGGTTTAGGGTCCAAAGTGTGCCATAGTGGTCAGCGAACCCTCGAATGAGGAAGTCCTCACCTGAGATGTCAGGAATATTTGCCGCTTCGACGGATTTGAGTCCCTCCTGTTTTTTCTGCAGGCAACACGAGAAGCCTGTGCTTCCAAGCCGCTGCTCGCGCTTCTGGTGGAACAAGCTCCGAGCCGGGAAAAGCACTGAGATGTCTTGTATTGCAGGAACATTCTTTGTGCTGGTCATGCTCTTGTGTCTGCAGTTTGTGATTTACTTAGTTTACCAACATCTTGAGGTGTAACGGATTACAATTGCTGTGTGCCGTTTCAGCCTTTCTTGGCTACAGTGTTGATCGTGCTGCTCTGAGCTGCAGCCAGGCTGGACAAGGGAAGTCGGAAGTAGTAGTAACTAGTAGTCGTAGTAGTAGTAGTAGTAGCAGCAGTAGGAGGCACAAAGTTCATACCAGCTGTTTCGTTAGGTTTGACTTTAAATTTTTGTGAAC